ACCAGAGAAGGCCTGAGAGAATGTGACGGGGGGAGGCGGGGAAGGAGGGGGGCTGGGAGTAGGTCTCTCCAAACACACTTGTTAGACACATCTGGCAAAAAGAAAATGTATAGTGCAAAAATAAATTTATTCAAGCAACTGTTAAGAGGATAATAGAGATTTGAAAGAAAAGTTGCGGTGACTGGGAAGTTGTGTGGGAGTAGGAAGTGGGAGAAGGAGCTTGATGTGGGGGCGGGCGGGGGCTTGTGGAAAGGAAGGGGAGGCTTCAAAAACATTAGACATTTATTTTTGCCTCTGTGTTAGCAAGGAGATCTTGGCCATTAACAGGTGTATTTTTCCTCCCTGGAATGAAGCAGAAGTGAAAGATAAGGAAATTAAACTAAGTCTGGGTTTAGATAGGAAATGCATGCTGGGAAGAAAAAACAAAAAGGTTGAGAACCAGCCAATAAGCCCCAAAGCCTTCAGGACCTAGGTTTGCAGAAATCATTCTGCTTCCAGTCCAAAGGCCTAGGTTTAAAACATCCCCTCCGCCCACCCCCAACCCCTCCCCGCTATGTGGAACTCCCAGTGTGGTTTCGATATACTGGCAATTATAAGCATCCATCCCCCCCAAAAGATATTAGGCACTGGTGGCTACTCCTCCGAAACGTCAGTAGCCTGTTTTCCTTCCGTGAAGGTACGACAGGTACATATGCGCATGTCTAGGTGCGAGCATATATACCACCCTCATTATGCTGACGTGGGGTCCATCTTATGGCAGTAGACAGAAGCTGGACTCACAGCAAGTTACGATTCCAAAGCTCACAGTTGAAAAAAAATTGTATAAACAGTCCCCAACAAAGAACGTATTAACCTTCCCTCATGACCACTGAGAGGGAGCCCTGTTTGAAAAGAATATCTTGTTTGGGATATTTGTGAAGTGATGGCCCAGGATTTCTCTCTCTGTTTTTGACACCTGTTTCCCGAGGACTTTAATGTTAAATGCAAAACACCTGAAGAATACAGTACTATATTGGAAGGATGCACATAAGAAAGTTAACTGCAGCTTTATTTTTCCCTTTTCTGGGATCTATTAGGAACCAACAGAGGAGATTTAAGAGTGTTAAAAGCAAGAAAAAACCCTGAAGCCTCAGGCAGTTCGTCATGGGAGGTCACGTTATTTACAAGAAGTTTATGCTTCCTTTCACACGTTTCTGTTGTTCCATCTCAAGTATTCCCAAAGATCCTCATTGAGGAAAGTAGGCCATCAAAGAGACATTGATGTATACTCAGGATAGGCCCTCTAGTTTTCAAACTGAGATACCACCATGTTCACCGAAATTTAATCCAGACACCCAGAATTTGAGTCCTCCCCTCCTGCCCCTCAACTCTTGCGCTTGGCAGGCGGCCATTTCCCCAAAATGCAAAGGAAAGCTTCCAGGAATAAATTTCAATCAGGTTCTACTTACTGAATGTTCATTTTGGCAATGTTCTGGGTACAAAATTGCAGCCAGAAATGCTGGCCCTCCTGATTTCAAAAAAATTACAATAAACTAAAAAATGAATCTGATTTTTGTAGTTAAATGTATTGCATCTTTATCTTACTTTGCCTACCTTCTTCCTGCTTCTAAAAGCAACTCATGCAAAAGAGAAGACAAAAGCACTTCCCACTTTTTATTTAACATTTTATGAAGTGACTTCCATAAAGGAAATCATTTCGAACCGTCAAAACTAGTCACTGGGTTTTGTTCTTGCAACTTGAGTTTCTTTTGGCTTTGCCATAAAATGCAGGAATGAAGGCAAGAGGCAATGTTCCGAATGCACTGGAAGAGCCATCCGAAAGCCCCATTTCTTTCCCCTTTGATGCAAATAGACATGGATAATCTGGAAAGCTTATCCCAAACAAAAGTCTTTATAAAATCTTCTCTGAAGCCAGAGAAGATTTTTTAAAACTAGGATTCGGTTCTGCTAATCAGGCATGAGGTTGGCTGTCCTTTTACCCTGTTATCATCAGGCAATCAAAGATGTACAAAGGGCACAAGAGGTGCAGGTGGAGAGGAGATGGCGTCGAGAGAAGAGGATATTTGAAGGGCTTTGCAAGGGAAAGCACACAGAGAGGAGGAAATGGTCAGCATGAAGTTCATTTTGGGGTCTCCAATATTTTTACAAAAATGCAGCTTTGTCATGGAATCTGAACATCTCTTTTTCTGGACATAATACTCATTACCACCAGGCACTGAGCTGAGCCATTAACCATGGGTGGGGCAGGAGGCCAGTAGCTAGGAGCAGCATTCTAATTTCAGGTTTCCATGTCTATGACTTACAGCCATGTGGTAGGAGAAAGAAGTATAATTTGAAATTGAAAAAAAAAAAAAAAATTGTCAGTGGCTTAGAAACTCTTTTTCTACATGTCCAACTCTGAACCCTGGATAAAAGCATGCTTGTTAGGACACCACCAGAAACACCAGAACCAGTTTTTCCTTTCAAACTTGGGATCCCCTGGAGTGTTAGGAGATAACAATTGAAATGAGAAAGGGTTTAATGTGTTTCAAATGTCCATTAATGCACTGTTTTAAATACCAGTCCTCTTGGGAGCAAAACGTCTTCAGGTTATTTCTTGGAAAACCTGGTCGCTTTAGAGGCTCTTAGCAACCATCTCTGCCACTGCAGAGGTGACGGGCATTTTATTACAAATTCATTTCCAAATGATCAGGACTGGTCATCATTCACGGGTGTCAACTGGGCTAAAGAAGAACAGTTTCAAAGCCATCCACGTAGCATCCACCGAATTCTTAGGCCAATTCTCACAGTCAACAAATGACTCTGAAGCAAGCAAGCACCACCATTGAGTGTCAATGCACCCTGCTCCAAGAAACGTCAGGAGCAGATTACAAAGGACCTCACTGATACAAAAGAGAGAGAAATTACTGAACATTTCAGACACTGATGAGGACCAAAGGGCCTTTGTTCTGCCACATTCAAATGAGACCACAGATGACAATAGGGAGCAAACAAGCAATGATTACTCTTTTGCATTTTTTAAACTTTCTTTTTAATAGAGCCTTGCATTGGTCAGTTCGAAAATTAAATTAAGTATTATAAACCCTTAATAATAGCATTTCGAGAGGCAAGAGCAGCTCCAGCTTGGGAGAGAACATTTGCAAATCATGGTGGCCATGGCTTAATGCCATCACTGGCGTGTGCGTGCAATCATGCTGGAGGCTGCTACATAAAGGAAAAGAAAGGAACCAACAGAATTCAGGGTGTCTAAAAGTTTCATCTAGTGCACTGACTGGAGGCGCTACAGTTTAATACAGCTGAGGTTCAAGGTCCCTCACACATCCTTCATCCAGGAAGGATGTACCACACATTCAAATATAATCCCATGGTATGCCCTGATGGACTGGCCACAAAATGCACTCAAATGCAGTAGAGAACTACGAGATTGTCAGCAAGCAGTGCTCCAGAAATTGTTTTTAAGTCATGTCTAGTTTAAAATCTTTGGAATAAAACTGATTTTTTTAAATACCCTCCAACTAACATACATTTAATTGCCTCTGGCAAATGGACAGATTTTGTGTGTGTGTGTGTGTGTGTGTGTGTGAACGGGTGTTTTTTCTTTTATTTTTTTTTGTTTTGTATTATTTTCTGTTTGTTTTTTTTGTTTTTTTTTTTGTGGTTTTTTTTTTTGTTTTTTTGTTTTTGGTCTAAATAGAAAAAATGAAAAGGAGAAAGTAAATTCTTAGGGCCAGACCTCGAAATGCCCCAAGTGTCCAATTGGCAGCTACAGCATTTGTGAGGAGGTTCCTTTGCCCTCAGACGAGTAGTTTCAACATTTCAGTGAAAACAAAGGTTGCAGAAAGCTGAAAACCCAGATCTTGAAGGTTGCTGTCATATATGTGTTTGTGTTTCTTATATTATTATTTCCTTTTGACTTCAGTTTTGCATCCCAAATATGTATGGGGTGGCATTTTAACAGTCAATGAGTCAAACAGTCAAAGGAGGACAGGAGGGGAGCCAGCTGGTAGGAGGGAGCAGCAACCGTGTGTGGACCAAGCGCCATTTTGTTTTATAGACGTGTCTTGAAGGGATGGTCCCAGAATATACAAAATATACAATCTGTCCTAATAACCACCCCGCTTGCTTGCATAGGCCATTTGATGGTCCTAAAGGCAGTCTTTGGAGTTGAGGCCAGTGCCAGCTAGCTAGGAGTGCGGGTAGAGACCAGTATTGGATGTGTGTGTGTGTGGTATGACTGTAGACTCCTTTGGAGTCAGCTTGCAGTAAATGTGAGGCCTCTGTTAATCCTGGGGGTTGTCGGTCACAAGTCATGGTGGGCCTAGCCAAAAAGAAAGAAAGAAAGAAAGAAACGTGTCTCTCCTTTTAGACAGCCCATGAGAGAAACACCTCAACCTTTTCCTTAAATGTCAACCCTTCACTCCCACAATGGCATTTTGAATTGTGTATTGTAACAAGTCGGGGAATAGGAGCTCAGTGGGCATGAGAGAGAAGATAGGATGATCTTTTGTGAAGCCACTAGACTTGGGAGGCATCCTCAGCTTTCCCCACTCCTGGAAAGAGTGATATTTTTGGCTTTTTGTCAAGTCATAAACCAGAGTTAAATTAAATACGCAGCTGCCCTCTGAGACTAGTGACATCTATGCTGTAACTGGTTATAGGGTAGCAATGACACACAGCACAACGGTTGATCACTATGAGCTGAGGTCATCATGCCTCAAGGAGGATGAGAGAACTGTGATGTCCCATCTGATTGGCTGCTTCGAGAGCTGGACATCCAGGTGCCGAGAGAGTCCTGGAGAGGTTTAGTCCATGGAGAAAAGATAAAACATTTAAGCTTCCAAATAAGCTTTTCAAGTTTTCGTTAGCAAAAACGGAGAGATTAAAAAGAAAAAATCTAGCACTGGCAATAAGGTGAGGCTCAAGGGATATACTGTGATTTATCAGCAAGGACTTTATTCTCTTGGCCACTTTGCAGTCATGCTAGAAGTTTCCAGAATCCCTTTTTTTTGTTTTTGGTCTAAATAGAAAAAATGAAAAGGAGAAAGTAAATTCTTAGGGCCAGACCTCGAAATGCCCCAAGTGTCCAATTGGCAGCTACAGCATTTGTGAGGAGGTTCCTTTGCCCTCAGACGAGTAGTTTCAACATTTCAGTGAAAACAAAGGTTGCAGAAAGCTGAAAACCCAGATCTTGAAGGTTGCTGTCATATATGTGTTTGTGTTTCTTATATTATTATTTCCTTTTGACTTCAGTTTTGCATCCCAAATATGTATGGGGTGGCATTTTAACAGTCAATGAGTCAAACAGTCAAAGGAGGACAGGAGGGGAGCCAGCTGGTAGGAGGGAGCAGCAACCGTGTGTGGACCAAGCGCCATTTTGTTTTATAGACGTGTCTTGAAGGGATGGTCCCAGAATATACAAAATATACAATCTGTCCTAATAACCACCCCGCTTGCTTGCATAGGCCATTTGATGGTCCTAAAGGCAGTCTTTGGAGTTGAGGCCAGTGCCAGCTAGCTAGGAATGCGGGTAGAGACCAGTATTGGATGTGTGTGTGTGTGGTATGACTGTAGACTCCTTTGGAGTCAGCTTGCAGTAAATGTGAGGCCTCTGTTAATCCTGGGGGTTGTCGGTCACAAGTCATGGTGGGCCTAGCCAAAAAGAAAGAAAGAAAGAAAGAAACGTGTCTCTCCTTTTAGACAGCCCATGAGAGAAACACCTCAACCTTTTCCTTAAATGTCAACCCTTCACTCCCACAATGGCATTTTGAATTGTGTATTGTAACAAGTCGGGGAATAGGAGCTCAGTGGGCATGAGAGAGAAGATAGGATGATCTTTTGTGAAGCCACTAGACTTGGGAGGCATCCTCAGCTTTCCCCACTCCTGCAAAGAGTGATATTTTTGGCTTTTTGTCAAGTCATAAACCAGAGTTAAATTAAATACGCAGCTGCCCTCTGAGACTAGTGACATCTATGCTGTAACTGGTTATAGGGTAGCAATGACACACAGCACAACGGTTGATCACTATGAGCTGAGGTCATCATGCCTCAAGGAGGATGAGAGAACTGTGATGTCCCATCTGATTGGCTGCTTCGAGAGCTGGACATCCAGGTGCCGAGAGAGTCCTGGAGAGGTTTAGTCCATGGAGAAAAGATAAAACATTTAAGCTTCCAAATAAGCTTTTCAAGTTTTCGTTAGCAAAAACGGAGAGATTAAAAAGAAAAAATCTAGCACTGGCAATAAGGTGAGGCTCAAGGGATATACTGTGATTTATCATCAAGGACTTTATTCTCTTGGCCACTTTGCAGTCATGCTAGAAGTTTCCAGAATCCCTAGTGCATATGATGTGCAAGAGTCAAAAAGTAAGAAAAGAAAACTCCTCCCTTGAGAGTGAAGTCTACAGAAATGCAGGCCAGAAAGGTGTAAGGTGTTATTCCAGAGTCTGCCGCCGCTAAGGCCGTTGGGATCGACGCGAAAGATCTCAATAGTACTAAGAAGAACCAAAACCAGTCAACAGTTCTGTGAGGAAGTCTGACGCACGGAATAGTAGGACTTTTCACACACAAAGGACAAATAAACCAAGAGTTAATTTTGGCTACCAAACTGCAATTTGGTTTTCTAGGTCATTTTCCCCCAACTATTTAAAAAGAAACATTAGTGCTACACATATGCGACTTTAAGATGCTGGATTCTCCTATCAAGTTGCACTGAGAAGCAAGTTAAATAAGCCCCTCGGACTGCCGTCCACCTGCAGAGAGGTCACATCCATTTTCTTTGATTTCCATTGGCAACAGCGGGAAATAATTCCAATAGTGCTGAAGTAAGCAGCCAGTCTGCCTTGCTGAGTTCACCTGGTTTCCTTCTTCATCTTCTTCCATCTGGCTAGGGCAAGGCATAAAGAATAGACGTATACATTTTAAATATAGTTGAGTGCATGACAGTGTGTATGTGTGTGGGTCTGTGAGAGTGTGTGTGTGTGTGTGTGTACAGAGGTTTATAAGTGAGAACTTTCTTCTGCGAGGCAATGGGTCCCCGCCTGAAGTCCAGCCCCTGCCTCATGGCGTGCCCGTTTCCTTTAGACACTAGCGGATGCCACGGCAACTCTGGCCTTTCGGTTTTTTAGATATGTCTCTTCATGTGGAGGGCAAGATGGTCAGACCTGGAAAAACACCTAGGAGATATAAACAACAAGGATATTAGAGAGCTCCCAGCAAACAGCGTGACTTGCATCACTCCTTAGGAAATGATTTCCCTTACTTTAAACAGACAGTGCACATGCATTGAGGAAATAGGGCCATGTGTTGGGAAGGTAAGTTTAAGGGGCAGAATGCTTGGGTTTAAATCCCATCTCTTCCAATAGCTGTGGGACTCTGAGCACATTAACCTCTCTGTACTTTAATTCCTCCTCAGTAGAGTGGGGATAATTACAGCCTTTATCTCACAGGTGGGTTGTGAGGATTAAATGAGATGATCCATGCAAGGTACTTAGAATACCACCTGGCACATTGTAGGATCTCAGTGCATGTTAACTGTTAGGATCATAATTGTGATTATTAAAGAAGAAAAGAATGGGAAAGTGCTTTTGAAACCCATGTCATGCCTGCATACTGTAAATATAATAAAGAATAATTAGTCTGTATCATCAAAGGGTAGAACTCTAAAATTTCAACACCCAGATTTCAATCCTAAGCTTTACAATGAAAGCCTAGAAATACTGCTTGTGATACTACTTATAGGCTTATCAGACACTCTATATTCAAGTCACAAAGAAAAAAAAAAGAATGAAGAAGGGTGCTCACAGTTACTGAGTATGTTACAATATGTAGGCACTGAGCTAAGGGTTTTCCCAATATCACACCATCCTCGCCAATCCTCCATCTCCATCGTAGGTATTCTCACCCTTTGTGTGTGTGTGTAGGGGGTGGAAGGGAGGGAGGTGAAGGAAACTGAGGCTAAGGTGTTTCTTGGAACCTAAGGCCCATAATTGAGTGCCTTCTTCATGTCAGAGTGGATCCAGTGGTCATCTTTCCTCCTTCCTCTAACACCTGCTAGTTGATATTCTCTTGGGTAGAAACCCTTCTGCATTCTCATTTGTGTGAGGCTGAAGTTGTGGCCACAGTATCCTCTTAAGCAACAGTCATGTGACCTGTAAAGGTCAATGAGAACCAGCCCTGGGACAACTGCTGAAATTATTGGAAGAGAGAAGCTCTCTTTCCACTGGGATCCTGGAGTGACTGGGGTCTATACTGCCATTGTGGGAAAGAGTTGGCTTGAGAATGAAGTCAACAGAGAAAAAACGGATCTGGGGGATAGAAAGAGTACTGATGATAATATCAGAGAAGCTGGATCCAACGAAGCCTAAAGACAAATCTAATTCTGCTCTTCTCAGTTACCTGAGCTCATAAATACCCTTGGAGGCTCACTGCAGTCTAAGTCAGGTTTCTGTATGTTTTAACGAACAGTATGGGTGTTTCCAAATCCCCGTAGGCTTCAATCTCAGGTTCTGAATGAAATCTCAGTGAAGTCAGCCTACATGACAGCAGTCATTCTGAACTCTGAGTGTATGCTTTCCCCCTGGATCATTCGCCTAAAACTAGCTGCTTTCTTACCTATGAGAAAGTTCCCAGGCTCCCTGAAGCCTGAGACACCCCTACAGTCCAAAACTCCTGTCAGAATGTTAGCAAGCTACACTGTTCAGGTTAGCAGGGTTTCCTGTTCAGGGCAGGATTTCCCTATGTTTGTTCATTCTTAAAACAAACAAAAAATATCCACCCTTTCCCTTGACCGCAACATTCTCCACACCCCCTGTTTGTGTCCATTCCTTAAATAGGTACATGTGTAGGATAGAACTCCAAGGGAATGAGGTGAAATGGGACAAGGGTGAAACGAAAACCACATAAAAATGGGAAAAGTACAACAGAAAACAATCTAATCCAGTAACATGCTGCATAATAACAATTCCAATTATACCCACGTACTTCCAGCCCTGACTTTGTATGAGGAAGGTATTTAGATAATCCCTTAGAGATGCCTCTAAAGGGGGTTTGGTTTGCTATAAAAGAGTGTCACTAAGTTTTCTTTAAAAACTAGTACTCTGTGTCACTGGTACACAGAAAAATCAACACAGCCTGCAGGGAATTTAGCATCTAACTGGCATAATTCTGTCTTGTCCCGAGGGTACAACTCAGTATTGCCCACTGTCTGTTCTCTTTCCCTCCCTCCCTCTCTTCCTCCCTGCCTTCCTTCTTCCTTCTTTTTCTCTCTTTTCCTCCTTCTTTCATCCCAACAACCTGGAGAAAGAAGATCCAAGTTGGGACATTGTGTTTCTAGATATTTCTTTTTTAAATGTAACATCCTTATAAGATCCCTATAAAGAAGGTACCATTCTTATTCCCACTACCAGATGAAATATTTATCAGAAAGAGGATTTGTTTTTTTTTTGTTTTTTTTTTTTTGAGACAGAGTCTCACTCTGTCGCCCGGGCTGGAGTACAGTGGCCGGATCTCAGCTCACTGCAAGCTCCGCCTCCCGGGTTTACGTCATTCTCCTGCCTCAGCCTCCCAGGTGCTGGGACTACAGGCGCCTGACCTCCCCCGGCTAGTTTTTTGTATTTTTTTAGTAGAGACGGGGTTTCACCATGTTAGCCAGGATGGTCTCGATCTCCTGGCCTCGTGATCTGCCCGTCTCGGCCTCCCAAAGTGCTGGGATTACAGGCTTGAGCCACCGCGCCCGGCCCAGAAAGAGGATTTGGACACAGGTAGTCTGACGCCAGAGCCCACACTCTCAGTCACATCTGCTTAACTATACTGAGAAGAAGAGAGGACTGGGCTGTCAGTTTAAGGAGCTTCTGGTAGGCAGACTAATGCTCCCTCCAAAATGTCTACACCTCATGCCCAGACACTGGGACTATGTGTGGTTACATGATAAAGAATTAAAGCTGTGGACGGAATGAATTTATGAATCAGCTGACATTAAATAGGGAGATTATTCTGGACTGTCTGGGTGGGCTCAATGCTGTCACAAGGGTTCTTAAAAGTGGGAGAAGGAATTTAAAGAGAGAACCAGAGAGATGTCAGCACGAGAAGGACTCAATAGCTTTAATGATGGAGGAATGGCATCATGAGCCAAGGAATGTGGGCAGCTTCTAGAAGTTGGAAAAGGAAAGGAAATGGATACTCCCTTAGAGCCTGCAGAAAAAAAATGCAGCTCTACCAAAATCTTTAGTTTAGCCCAGTGAGACCTTTGTTGGACTTCTAACCTAGAAGTTTCTAACCTACAGAAATATAAGATCATAAACTTGAAAAGTAAATAAACCTGATACTAAATTTGTGGCAAGTGGTCAAGGCAGCAACTAGAAAATTAATCCTGAGGTTAAGTTGGTCAGGCCTGAGGAGGATGTACCTGTGAGAAGCAACAACACAGACACCCAGAAGCCTGCCTGTTCAAGAGAAACGCAGGGATTTGAGATGGTAAGGAGTGAAGAGAGGGCCTGGCAGTGGGACACCCTTTTCCTTTCCTCTCTATATCCTGGGAACGCTCGGAAAATTAGTATTCTTAACACAGAGCTTTATTTGAAAGAACCATTCAGTAACGTATGTGCTCAGCTTTGTTTCTGCCTTTACCAATTACTGGGTATTTCGCAATATATGTATAAACATCTCCCTTTATCCTTCAAATTCAGGGAAAAAAAAGTGGAAAAAAGAAAACCAAATCTTTAACATGGTAGGAAATGTAACTGCACCCCTACTGAATCAAATGAGCATCATTTGTTCAAATTCCAAAAAAATGTATGATGCTTAGGATTAGACCAGGTCCCTTACTATTGAGGTTTTTATTTAAATTCAATACCCCAGTAAGGTACGTAGTCATGATTAATTTATACTTATTAATTTATACTTACTGAATTCCACAAAAGATAAACTTGGCATGTAGAAGTGTAGAATCAAATAGTTTTAAGGGTAATATATCCCTAGAGAATATTCATAACTTTACAGCAGCCAAGTAACCTTAAATAAGAAGGTCCTTAATGATTGAAATTTGTGCATAATGGAGAACTAGTCAACCCCACAGTCACTTTTCTTGTTTATGAAAAAGGCACACTAGGCCGGGTGTGGTGGCTCGCACCTGTAATCCTAGCACTTTGGGAGGCCGAGATGGGTGGATCACCTGAGGTCAGGAGTTCAAGACCAGCCTGACCAACATGGCAAAACTCTGTCTCTACTAAAAATACAAAATAAGCCAGGCGTGCTGGCGGGTACCTGTAATCCCAGCTTTTCAGGAGGCTGAGGCAGGAGAATTGCTTGAACCCTGGAGGCAGAGGCTGCAGTGAGCCGAGATCGCACCACTGCACTCCAGCCTAGGTGACAAAGCAAGACTGTCTCAAATAAAAAAAAAAAAAAAAAAAAAGGAAAAAAGGCAAACTAAAGTCACACAGGGATTAAGTCAACAGCAGTCTCCTAGGTGACCAAGGGGCTAAGGTATGGGCTGGTATTTCTTACCACTTATAAGTGGGCTGACATAAAGATCAAAATGCACCCTCTAAACTGCCCAAGATCTGGAATGTACTATGCTAGTAGCGTTCTCCCTGGATTATAACTGCACTGAGTCAGTTGATAGAATGAGGGCCTGCATGTTACCACTGATGGAAACTGAGCCCTGTTTATCACCATCGGCAGCCTCCAACTCTGTGGGCTGAAAAACCACTTATCCCTCTAGCCACTGGTCACTCAGGGGGGCTGCACTGTCTAGTCAGATGGTGAAGAAATGACACTACTGCTGTGCTTTCTTTCCTAACCCAAACCTGAAGCCAGAAGTCACAAAACCCAGTGTCTGTAAGGCCGGGTAGACAAAGTAAGTGTCGTGGGTCAACTGTAAGAAACACTGTGCTCTTGGGCTACCTGCTTCCACTTCCAATAAGGCATGGATACAAAGAAGTATAGCTCTTCTTGTAAGAAGAAACAACAGAAAGCGGGACAATACTTGGCAATCGATGGCTTGCCTTTGAGTTGTGGAGCCACAGGGAGTGGTTTGAACAGTGGAAAAATAGTCATCACATGGCTATGGCAAATGGGTAATGACTGCTCTTCAGCTCCAGCCAATTACAGCCACATGGGAATGTGAGCCCACTGTGGCCAGATCTGATTTTTCCAGACAAAGCAAGAAATACAAACTTTTTTGTGTGACATTTCACGATTTTAAATGTTGGCCAAAAAAAAAAAAAAAAACACCACCAAACCAAAAACGTCATGAATTTTTAAAACTACCCTATAGGCAAAATAAAAGCATACGTTAGATTTGGTACATGCTTAAGGAAAGGAAGTCTAAACCCTATTTAGCTTCTAAATAGGGCAGTGTGATTGTTCAAATTTTAAGAGATAAGAGGCGGTGCACTCATATATACTGCGGTACCAATAGGATGCCATGTCCTGCCAAGGGCTACAGATGCCCTCTGTTTCTGAAGGTAAACATCTTCTAAGGAATGCCAACTCCCGGTCACTCCAGGCTTTCCTTTCATCTGCTTTGGGACCACGCCAATTCCCCATGTCGTCTCCCAGACCTGGCTATTCTTAGCACAGTCACCGCAATTGAAACGCCAAGGTGCTGCCTGTCATGAGACACTAATGAGAATACAAACTCTCATTTCTGATGTTGTCAAAAATGCACTATTGGCCTGTGTCACAGGACGCTGATCTACTCCATCTCCCACAAACACCATGTCGCAGAATTTGTACCATCTGCTCAGCAAATTTCTAGCTCCAGAAACTGTAGTGATTTTGATGAAGAAAACAAAGCAAAAGACTAACGAAATCACCCAACTCTGACATCTCTTTCAATGAAACAACCAATCGATTTGGAATATTTCTCCACGTAAATCATACAAAAGACCGGATTAAATCCAAATATATCAGTTGCTAAAAGGTTGTAAATGTCTCAATAAGTCAGTTGATTTGAAGAGCGGAATACTAACTTTGGCAATTTCCCCGTAAGAACTCTTTGTCCACATCCAAGAATTATGGCAACCCATAATGCTCACAATCTCCAAGTAACAGCCTCCACACCCTTCAGAGCTGGGCGACTTGTGTGTACATGCTACCATCACACTCCGACCACTCACACTCTGACCACTCACAAAGCAGTCATCTTGGTCCCAGCTGATAGAACAGAACACTCTCCTTCAAAAGACTATGGACAGATAGTCACCATCTGCAGGGCTTCTTTATTAGCCAGAGTGAGAGACGCACAAAGCAGAGAAACTTGAGATGGAAATAGAAGGAAGATGGGGAATGAGGAGAAACTCTGCTGGAGCATACTGTGTGGAAGACAGCTGCTGATTCATGTAAATACAGGAGGACTTCTAGGTAATGGACGGAAATGAAACAATGACTTGTATTCTTGGGTAGCAGAACAGAGTTCCAAGGGAATGGGAGACAATAACTGCATGAAGTACACTTCCTCAGCCCTGGGGTGGGAGGTTATCTCTGGGCTCCAGGAGGCATAGGGTCTTTATTTAGTACTTAGAGAATGAAGATAAGAGGAAAATAGCTTCCCAGGAAGAAGGAAAAAAAAAAAAAGGAAGAAAAACATAACTGCTCCTTTATAAGCATCCTAAGGGAGCACTAAGCCACCGTGACCAGTCTGGACACCCCTTCCCTATTCACCAAACAAACACTACTACAGAGGAAGGCCTGGTGAGGGGGGAGGTGTGGGACACAGGGACTGGGGGAGGCAGGATGCAAAGGCGATCGCATTTCCTCCCAAGAAAAGCCAGGCCCCTGCTGCCATCCTGCAAGCTGGGGAACCCTGAGGCTTTCAGGGGCTTTTATCGTATTAGAAGCATTTTTCTCATCATAACGGAGACCTTTAGTATTGCATTAAAAAGATGGTTAATTTTCTTAAGCTTCCTTTTAAACACAGAAATAGGATTAGAAGGATAACACGCTCAGCTGCAAGCCCATTATTTGATTATGTCTAAACCTAATCCTGCCTTCACCTTGGCCTGCAGAGTCTCCATTTTGGGGTTTATTGGTTGATAATGCCAGGGCTGTCAGATACTATTACTTGGGTAGTATCTGTTGCTACGCGCGCTTTCTTCTACTATCAAATGCAGAAGGCTTAAAATTGAATTACAGGAGAAGTTCTCAAAGCCTCGTCATTTTTTGAACCCTTGTACCTATTTTTAAGGAAGAAAGAATGATCTGGGCCCCAAAGAATGGGAACTCTCTTCAGTACAATTCGTTTCCAATAATGGTTCAGAGAAAAGTCTTACAGTGATAGGAACCCTAACCTTCCTTCCATTAAACAAGCTTTCTACTCTTTCTTATTACTATAGATGAGGGAAAGTGGTATTGAGGTTGATACAAAGATCAGAAGTCCCTACAGGTGACCATTCTCTGTCTCACTACTTTTCATATTATACTGAAGTTATCTGTCACATCTTGTTGATACCCAGTGACTAACCATTTCCGGCTTAAAGCTAGTGTTCAGTAAATGCTTGTGTAACTGAACTAAGAATTCACACCACCTCTTGATTTCATGCAAGAGGGCACCCCCTATTCTCACTGGTCCTCCCATGGAGAAGTAAAAGGCATTACCAGGTCCAAATGTCTGTGAGTCAGACCTGTGATAACTCCAAGCACATGGGTGCAGCTCATCCTCCAACCCACTTCCCCAATGTCCCCTCCCTAGCCCATCAGCTTCTACTTCTCTTTACCTGTCGCAGTGGTTGCATTTGAAGGGCTTTGCACCTGTGTGTTTCCTGTAGTGCCTCGTGAGCTCATCGCTTCGTGCAAAACGCCACTCGCATCCCTCCCATGAGCACTTGTAAGGCTTCTCACCTGCAAGCAGAGATAGAAGGACCATGGTCAGCAGCAGGAACAAAAGGGATTACACCCAACCAGCCTGTGCTGCCTGCTGGTCAGGCTTGGGAAAGGGCTGTTTAAATCATTCCTGAAAGACTAGATTTCCTAACACAGTATACCACAGTTTTTTGGTTTTTCTGTTTTTCTCCCAAGTCTCCTGGTGTTTTGTTTTTTGTTTTCTTTGTTGTTAACCTTCAAAAGTGGTTTCACCAGATCCTCAAATCTGGAGCTGTCATTTCAGTTCCCAGAGTCAGAGCATTTCCTTTGACTGGTGAAGGATCAATTTTTATTTATTTTCTATTCCCTGGAGCACTTTCACCCCCACAGTCCAGGCAGAAAGGAAATGTGCTATTTTCATCTGAACCACAAATGCTTCTAATTCTATTTTTCTCCAGAACCTACAGTCATTTGCCATTTCAGGCTTTTTAGTCTTCTCCCTCCCCTTCCCTCCTACCACAAGCTGCAGTCAGGTAGCTGACTGACAAAGCAAACAGCTTAAGTCTCCCACAGCCACTGTTCCTTCCAGTAAATGTGATGGATGGACAATGAGGAGAAAGGTCTACAATTTGAGAGTAAAACAAAAATCACTTGACAATCCCTGGCATTTATGGAAAATACTATCACAAAAGTCTGAGTTAGGAAACTCATAGCTTAACAACTGCAGAGTGTTCTTATTAGAAAATAATATGTATTATTGTAAAATATTTTAAAAATCAATTTGGAGAGCAAGGTTTTAGCCACAGGGAAGCTGCTTATAAGCATGAAATTCAAACACTTGTGCTCAAGTGACCTTTTCACACAGTAAATACAGATGGAAGGATATGTAAGAGAAAGTACATGACTTTGCCTTAGACCTTTTTTTAACTCATCACGTCTGTCACCAAACATGACAAATATTTACCCTTCCAACTGTATGGTGGACTGGTTCTAATTAAAAAGAAAAATGATCTTTGGAAACCTGTGAAATCATGAAGCTGAGTTACTGAGCCCTGTCACTGAGAGGCAGGTTAGTACGTGGTTAACAGCTTTGAAGCCAAACTTCCTAGGCTCAGCTTCTAGTCCTATCCTTAATTGTCTGACCTTGGGTAGGTTAATAAACCTCTGTGTGTCTCTGTTTTCTTAGAGATAATAATAATAGGTACCTCAAAGGGTTTAGAGAAGATAAATCAACACACATGCATATTATATATTAATTAGAACAACGTCTGGCATATGTAAGAGTCATATAACTAATAAACATGAAAAACTGCCAAACTCAAAATTTCAGGGTACCTAGGTGCCAAAGTACTATGGCGTCCCATTATTTCCACAGTTTTAAAAGCTAAATCTTTACTAGGCAGCCCTGAAGGAGACATTACCCAGGTACTATACTTGACCTACTTTCTTCTTTCCACCTTTCCCCTTCCCTTTAAACCTGACTACAAAGCATTCACAATTCTTTATTTGTATCACCTAGAATCAAACCAAACATGCTTGAAAATTTTATTTCATTAAATTGGTGCCCTAGTGAGCCACTGCTCTGTCAGACCCACAGAGAAGAGGAACGAGAAACACAGGCATTTCTTTTAAAGGGAACCAAGAGGACATGAAGGAGGGCTGGAGGCACAGGAGGAAACCCATTCAGTTTCGGAAACCAGGAAAAAAAGAGGACGAATCACTGAGCAGTGTTAAAAGTTCACCTTCTGGCTCCTTTAAGCCAAAAGTTTAGAAAAGATGTGCTAGCTGAAGGAAGGGTAGCCAAGTGGAGGTGCCACATAAACTCTGGAATCAGCATACTTGGGATCTTGCTGCGTTCGTTCCAGACTCTAGAACTCAGTATATTTGTCTGTTAAACGAGGGTGAGCTTATTAATAAACCCATGTTTATAGCGAGGTTTCAATCGGTTGTGTGTAAGAAACGTTTGTTCAGCCTTGCATGCAGTCAGTACTCAGTTCCTGTCTCAACTCCCTTTCCTCCGCCTGTGTTCACAGAGGTTACTAGGAAGACAAGCCTGAAACTGCTGTCAATGAAGGCCTTCAGAGCTCATGGCTCCAGAAAGCCAAGTCTAGAGACATTCTGGGTACCTGAAATATTAGAAACAGAGAGTCTTGCAAGTATTTTCTCATTATATTGACGGAGAATGAATCCAAAACAGGGAGTGTTCTTTAGGACTGCTCTGAATGAGTAGGACACAGAAGGGGAAGTACGAGATCCCCGTACCCTGCAGGAGAGACATGTCAGCATCGTGCATTTAACCACTAGGCTCTGTTATCTCAAGGGGAAATCTGGCACAAACCAAAAAAGGAGAATGAGGCATCTAAGACTTCAGAAATTCAAAGTGCCCTCCGCCCATGAAGGCCTTCAAATGTAATTAAAATTGGAGGTTCCTGGAACCTTGGGGACCAAATACACCCCAAATGCAATGAGGCACCTAGGAAATTCCATGAAATTCTACAGCAACAACCAGAGACATCTAGTCCCCAGAATCAATCCCATAATCGAACTGACTTGTCTATCACAGGCAACCACATTCTGAAGGGCACAGGAAGGGCAGATAAAATGAAGAAGACTGAAGTGGATGTCTTTGGGCGTTTTTTCCCATTTCAACCGTTTGCTTTTCCCCTTGCTGAATTCCTTTCACTAGTTTCCTTTCGACAAATAATATCAAGGATGTAATTATTTTCCAGAAAATGATTAGACTCTTAGTTACTTCCCAGTACAAACCAACTCTCCAACCCAGGAGCTGTTTCAGCATCCTCGTGGCTGTGTCCACTATTGAGAAACTGCAGAGAGCTTGACTTAGCTCTGAATCTTATCACCTGACATTGTTTCCTGCTTGCGGCAAACACTACTCAGAATAATACTGAGGACAGGCTCCTTTGTGCCCTGATATTTTAGCCATGTTACTATTATAGTGATTTATCAAGCTATTTTTCCACCATCTGGCTAGTTTACTGACAAGTTGCCATTCCTGCAAATACTAATAAAAAAATTTAAAATAATCAAGAACGCCCAATGAAGGAGCAGTGCCTGAAGGCAGAACTCAGAAATCAGAGAGGCAGAAAAAATACAAAGAATTGGGAATATGACTTTATATTTAGGGCACAGGAATTGTGGAGTTAGACTGGCCTTGTTTCCAGGTTCTATACCCACCTCTACAAACCAATTCCTACTGGAAAGGCAGGTCAGGGAAATTCTTCTGTTAATATTTTCAGCATGGCCAAGACTGCATCTCCCTGAACACCAACAGCCACAGCTTGATCTTGGGGGATGGACATACCTCCTAGCCATGATACATTTGTTTTCATCCTTAAAAGCCTACCTGAAGATTTCTGCTCATTTCATCAAAGGCTGAATTTCTTTCTTTACAAAAAGAAAAAAGGAAGGCTTTGTGAGAGGGAGGAAAACTGCATGTCAGTGGTACTGGAGCAGGTTTCATGCAAGATCAGCTCTTCTATTTTACTCTCCCTTCTTTCACTTGCCCTTCTCTCCTTCCTCCACTCCAGAGACTTCTCCTGGGTATAAAACAGAAACTGTCATGGCCTTGCACAACACTATGCTGTATCACACTTGGAATGAGGCACACTGTTCAGCTCACTGCACCTCTAGAGTGAACAAAAATGCCCAAGAGTGGTCTATGTGAGACAGACAGATGGAAGAGAGACTTAAAAACCCAGGACTCCAGTACAGGAAGGGCATGTGAGTAAAGGCGAAGACACCTCCCACAGCTCACAATGCTGGAGGCAGAGGACACCCTCAGGACCTCCTAAATGTCAGGGTGACTATCAAGAACCACTTTCCCTGTCGGGCAAAAACCCTAGGATGCAACAACCCTAGGATACTTGTTTCCCTGGGGGAGTACATGCCACCTCAGAGGTGAGAGTACGTCTCATCAGGTAAAAACAGACTTATAGCCAGATGAGGGCTCGTAAGGGGAGGTAAGGGTGCTTGAGAAACAGGACTGACATTTAGAGAGGTTAAATCATGTCAAGAACTTGCGTTCTCCCACAAAATTCATCTGAAATGAAATGCGGTCTAAACCAGTGTGGCATTTTGTTAGTTTCTTACAGGGTCACTCTCCCTATATCGTGATCATCAGAATTGACTGATCAAAAAACACTGCCATAAATACTTTTTGAGCATGCATCTATGACATATGTAGGCTTAGTCATGAATCATACAGATGTACTAATATCCTATTAGGATATTATAAAATATATATTCAATAGACCAATTAAAAATGAGAATAAATCAAATATAAATAGAAGTCATACATATTTCTTCTTGCCTTCAAAAAGACTGTGTTGCACAACCCTACTTCTGGCCACTGCCCTGTACGAGAAATAAAAATAGCTTTGCTCTCAGCCCCACCATCTCACTGGTCTTAGGGCTTCCATTCATGGCTCCTACAGTCTATTCAACTTATAGCAGTCAAAGCAATCCTTTGAAAATGTAAATCAGAGCATGAGTGACTCTTACAGGGGGCCTTAGTCTATATATTTCCATATAAATGGTTTATTTGACATCCACTGGATTTTATGCATTTAAAAACATTATTCTGCAAAGGGTTCCACAGGTTTTGCCAGACTGTCAAAGACATTCACCCAAAAAAGGTTAAGATGAAATTAAAGTGTAAATGTTTCAATGGCTTTCTATCGTTCTCAGAAAAAAAGTCAAAAGCCAGGCAAGGCTATACAGTACAGCCTACATGATCGGGCTCCTGGCTACCTCTCCAATATCATCTCCTACGCTCCCCTCCCCGATTCACCACATGGCTGCCCTGCCTGCAGGCTCCCACCTTGAGGCCTTTGCACTGGCTCCTTGCTCTGCCTGGAACACTTGCTCCCTCACTTCATTCAGGTCTCTGCCTGAATGTCTCCTCCTCTTAGAGAACTTCCTTCACTATCCTCTGTAAAACAACAGATTCTGTCACTTTCTCCATAGCACTTAATTACTTTGAAACGAAATTGCATATTGTTTGAGTGTATTATAGTCTG